TGTGCTTTCCTCGCTGTTCCTGAGCCATGTAGAACGTGGCTGCTTCTCATTCGAGCGAGTCATTTGTTAAAATTGAAAATATAGAAGAGTTTGTCCTATACGTACTTACACGTGTAATAATGTCATCGATTGTCCGGCACTTCGCGGATGAAATACTTAGTGAGCCAGTTTTACGAAAAGACAAAGAAGAGAAGTGGCCGTTTTTCTTTTATCACCCTTGAGTGTACGCATATATGTGACATGAAACTTGTTGGTCTTGGACTGCTTATCTCGCGCCTTGGAATGCAAAAGTTCTCCTTGAATGGCGCTTCCCCCTCCTCCCTTCAAAATCTTCTCTGTTTACTGAGCTCCCTAAATTGCAGCCTCTAAATCGCGCACCGCGCAACGTCAACCTTCAATTTCACGCGGGCAAACACCCAAAATGAAGAAAGAGAAAGGGAAAAGAAAAAAATAAGGCTAGATTCAAGTACAACGAGACGGCAGAACCTGCCTGCGAGCGCGCCGGCGGTCGGCAATGGAAGAGAAAAGAAAGGGAAATTGCCAGGCGCGATCGACGAACAAAAAGTTAATTAATCGTGTCCACAACGGGCGTCGCGGGTGCGCGCCTGTCTCGAGCTTTTCATCTCTCTCGACCTCTCGGGGGTTTCCCTTTCTCCGCGGCCGCGCGGCGTCGGCGGCGGCGACCGCGGCGAGACGGCAATTACACAGCAGCGCGCAATTCGTGTCAAGTTCCGAGGTCAGTGCGCTCTGCGTGCGTATTAAAAGCAGCAGCATCTCTCGCCCAAGGTGAGAGTTAAAGAGGCCTTTTCTTTTTCTGCCGCTGGTAGTGAAAGTACGTGCACACGCGTGCAGGAGTTGCGCGAGGGCGCGGAGCCTTTGATTCGCGTGTGTATGTTGTTGCGCAATCGAGAGCAGCGTGCAACGCGAACGGCGGCCAACAGGTGCCTTTTATAATGTATATGTGCATGCCGCGCCGCCGCTCACTCGACTCCCTTTTCTCCGCTGTACGTTTGTATGTATGTGTGTCTCTCAAATTTCTGCTTCTGTGGCTGCTGCTGCTGCTGCTGCTTGCACGGCTGTCATGGTATTTTTAGTTCCTATTGTTGTAACGCGATTTCTTTGTATGACTTTGATGTTGAAATTATTTTTTGGGCGTAGTTGCTTATATTCGGAGTAGTTTCATTTACGATTCGCGAAACTTTCGACGATTATTTTTATAGTTTTATATATCTCGCATTCATGGAAACAGTTAGATCGAGTTGGTTACTACGGATTCGATGGTTGTGTAATAATACAAGAAAATGAAATAGAAGGAAACATAAGTCTTTTTCCAAGTCATAAAATTGAAACAGCGTAATTAAATCGCAAAGTAATATATAACAGTTAGGGTGAAATTTCTGTCTATGTAGAAAGAAAATTTATTTTTAATATTAATAAAATATTACAACTTGTTATAATTTCGTCGCATTCTTCTGATCATACATTACGAAGGTTTTTTTATGTATCACGATCACAGTAAAAAAATCTCACGTTGACTTTTCAACATCACAACTCGTCAGAATTGATTGATGCCTAACAACTTTTTCCAGAGGATCCATCAGGATTTTTTCCTATCATCATTGAACTACTACTAGAGAAGAAGAGAAAAAAGCCAATTTATTTAAAATTTCGTCACGGTGCTCGGGTCCGAAATTACAAAGTACAGGGAAAAACGGTCAACGCGCGTTAAAAATCAATGAAGCCTATACGCGTGGACAAAGAAACGTAGCAGCATAAAGAATGCTGGCAGTGCGGTGAGTCATCGGCCGTGAATTTTCCTATGCGCGCTTAGCATTCGCATGACGAGGCGCGAGAAAAATCGAGATGTTTGCCGATGCGGCTCCTCGCTCGGAGAGACCGCGTAAATCGTCCGCTCGTCGGCGGGAGAGCGCGAGAGAGGGCACGAAAAAAAAGGGCTGTTCGTATAACACTTGCCGCTGCTGCTTCTCTCGCGCACGCCGCGCCGAAGGAAAATTGCAGCCTGCGTGCGCGCCGCGATGGAGAAACGAGCGATAACGAGCTCGATCGTCGCTGTGTTGCGCGGATTTTCAATTACGGAATTGTGCTTTGATGTCCGCGCTGCGCGTCCATTTTTCCTCCGTCTCGGGGCGACGGGTTCCCAGTTTAATCGCGCGCGTTACGTACCAATTCGTTATTTAGCGGTCTTTTATTCGTTTTTCTTCACTTTTATTGCGGAGCAGTTGATCGACAACGCGTATTTCATTTTCTATTTAAATGAAATTCACGTATACGCGGCGACTGTGAAAAAAGTACGCGGCTGCAGAGGGAAAAAAAATGAAACGCGCGCGAAATTCAATCACACGCGAAATAAATCTCATTCCGCAACACACCTCCAATCTCATTCAGACGTTGATTGCTGCGGGATAAAAAAAAGATATTGTTTTTTTCTTTACACACACTCGACGCGAACTTTCGGACAGCATCACGCGCGTGCGCGCGCGCGCCAGCGTATCTCCCGTTTGATTCGAATTGAAATGCAGCTGTATAATTTGCATGCCCGTGCGCGTAGCCGGGAATAAGATGCTCCTCGAGAACGACGCGCGTACGTGCGGATATGTGGGTTAAACTCGAGCAAATACATAGCAGCAGCCATCGGGCGCAGCACTGTTTCTGATTAAGCTTGGCAGATGCCTCGCATAAGCTACTTGCGGTGCTCTCTCGACACGCTAAATTACGTTTATTCGTTTCTTTAAATTCCACTTTGATTTTGCCGCTCTGCGCACGCATAACATATGTGCTTTGTAAATGAGATCGGGAAATGATTGATTCGAATGATCGTTCTCGGAATCAATTGCAGCTCGTTACGTCGGAAATTCAATTTCATGCCTAATCTCCATGATAGTCGCTGTTTTACTTGCCATACATTCGTTAAATTGTTGCCGAGGTTTCAGCTGGAATTCCACGCGAAGGAAAGTTATATGTTCCATATAGCACAAAAGAAACCTGAAATTCTTCGCAAGCAACCGAGACATATGTTGCGGGGCATGCGTGCTCTAAAATATCATGAATGCGCCCATTGTAGCTGAATTTCCGAGATCTTTCATTAGCGGACAACATTTACATGCGCGAATTGTAAAGCTTGCAGCCACCGGCAATTTCGAGCCGCGTCGATCGCGACGTTACATTGGGCGAATCTGTTACTTGGTTATTTTGTCTCTTGCCTCGCTCGTGGAACCGCAACAGCAACGCGACGCAGCTCAATTCGATTTCAGCCGAACGGGAGAACAAAGCTCACGCGAGCGTGCGCACCTGTCGCGCGACTGCTGACCGCTCGTCGTTCGCTCTCTCGCGCGATGATTTTCAAAGTTCGCCGCGAGACAGTAATTGGAAATCGTTGGAAACGTACCGTCGTACGGTCGGAGCCTCTTCCGAGGATGCTGCTGCGGCGGGACGATGCCGCGTAGTATTTGTATAATTGTTCGCGTTAGCCCTCGCGAGGCTAATTATCGGCGGGTACCGCGGCACGAAAATAACACATCGCGAACGTTTCGCAGCGCATTTCGCCACGGCTATCGCGAAGCAGCGAGCCTCGCTTTCGCAAGCGTCAATTGGCGTGGCGCGCGAGAAAAGAGAGGAACAGCCGACGAGAGAGCGATCGGCCGACTCTGAATTTCGATTGATTCGCCGGCGCTGGGCGCGCGTTAGAGCAGCGCGGTATCGCCGAAGAGAAAGAGAGGCCGGCCGCGCGGCTTTCCATACGGATTAATGATAGAGTCTATGATTTTCGATCGCGGGTATAAATATCGGCGATGCACGGGGCTCACGGACATTCTGATTTGAAGGCTGTTTTCTCGACGCGCGCGCGGTACGTAACGATCGAGCCTCCCCCTCTTTTTATCTGCTGTGCCCATTTTACCGCGCCCATTTGATCGACGATGAGACTTTTGATTTGTGATGGGGTGCCAGGCACTTATGTAATTTTTACAGCTGACGGCTCGGCTCCGATTAATTGCCGCGCGGGGAACAAAGAGGAACTGCGATTCGATGCCTTGGCTCTGGAGGCGATCGAGCTTGCGAGGAGAAAACGACAGACGGGACAATGAGCTCGGAACCTTTCCACGATTGCAGACAAAGCGCAGGAGGGAGAAACGAAGTGCGCGATCGGGTCGTCACGGTCGCGGGCCAATTTTTCCGTGGAGTCGTGATCGTGCAATTAATCCGTCGGCGATAAAGCGTACGTAAGGAAAAGCAGTCCGGGTGGGCCTTCCCACGCGCGCGCATAGGCTGGGAAGACAGGTGCTTTTCTGTCTGCGCCGAATCGAAGAAAGGAGCGAGGCGCGAGCGAGAGTGAGGGCTAATTTAATTTGGGGGGGGGGGGGGGCGCATCGTTGCCACGCCGCGCCGCTGCGATCGATCGCGCACAATCATCTCTCTCTCTCTCTCTCTCTCTCTCTCTCTCTCTGTGCTTCGCATGCTGCCGCCGCCGCCGCTGGGAACGATTTCGACTCGGATTCTAGAAGAACAAGGGGCATCTCCTCTTCTTCTTCGAAATGCACATCCTGTTCGTGCGTTCAAACAAACGTACTCATATGCTCTGCCCGCGCGAGAGTTTACTTTCTACGCTACGTGGTGATTCCAACGGAGAGTCGAAGCGACGACGTGCCTTCGGTTCCGCTGCCGTTGTCGACATTGCACGGCTTTTGTAATTACCCAATTATTTACCGCTGCAATTTTCGCTTGGATTTTTCATCGGCCAGCGTTTTCTCCGCGCCTCGTACTTTCCACTTGTTTGCGAATAAAACCCTTCTATTGCAATTTATTTCTCAATTGAGGGCGACGCCGCAATCACGTGGGAAAGCAATCACTCCAGATGTTCTGAAGGTTATAAACCGCACACGTTTAGGAATCCCACAATTCCGCATGCGCGCGGGCGACAATCTCGCGTCTCGAAATCTCAGCCTTTAGGCCGCTCCAAATGACCATTCCGTGTGGTTTCACAGGGGCCGAGATGTTTAAACGGCTGACAAAGGCGAGGCGCCACAGCGCTGACGAGATTGGCAGCAGCGGCGGTGTACTGCCAAGCCCGCTAAGCCTTCACGAGCCACCGGGACGCAAGAATTCCGAGGGCCAAATTATCCGGGCCAATGGGCCGGCTGCCACATATATGTTCGCCACCGCGCGGTCCAAGTTGTCCAGGAAGAGCTGCGGTGATGCCTATGCATTGTTGAACTCCGCCGACGACGATTCGTCGTCCCCGACGCCGTCTGCCAACTCGATGCAGTCTGATACGGATTACAGGCTGGTCACCGCCGTGCCTGCCTTCATCGTCGAGCACGAGCCTGAGAAACACAAAGGTATGTCTTATTATTCTTTTGCCGTTTTCTTACGTGTACTATTTCTACAAGAATGCGAATTATACACTCGAATGATGATTACGTGGCGTTGTAACGATCTGTTGTGGAATTAGCAAATTTAGATTCTATCATAGAGAAGATTTACAGTATTGTGATTTATGTGAATTACTTACATTCGAATCGAAAAGCAAATGGTTCCGTCTCATTTACCTGTCGTTGCAAAACTTTTCATTGCAAATTTTATTCGAAAAAATCTGATCGTTCAACAGCAAAAATAAAGCTGTGTTTTGGCATATACGCCGTAACAACATTGTTTTATTCACACATATACACTCGCTGGTAGATTGTTTTTCCTACATTTATTTATTTATTTATTCATTTTTGTCACATTGTGAAAGGTAAAATATTGCTTGATCATGAGTCAACGTTCAAATTGAAAAATCATAAAAATATTGGAAATAAAACGTATGAAAAACCTACTAGATATACTAAAGCATACGTCAGTGTGTGGGATTAGGCGAATGTTAAGTTAAGGAGCTAACGTACAAATCCACCGTGAAATGTGTCGAGCCTGTGATGCGTTTCGAGTTCATTGTCTTGCGTGCGCGCAACTTGCGAGTTGTGACTATTCAAGCACTTTGGTGTAAGCCACTCCAAAACAAGGTAACGCCCGTACCAATTGGCTTCAGTCACGAGAAACCCTGCGGCTTCTTTTCGTCTCTTTCTGTCAATGGATCGACCAACTGGACAACCGCTGTCTCTATCACTTTCGTAATTGTTCTATTGAACGTTTCGACTGCTTCTCAATATTAGTGCCGCGACATTATTCAGAGCCTTCGGGCCAATTAATGTCACAGCCGTTTTTCTTTATGGATATTTTCACGTTGACTTTTAATAATTTTTAATATAAAGGCTAGAGAACGTCTCATGAAAAATAGGGGAGATTTATTCCGAGGCTGTTAGAGGCACTGTTAGAGGTCGACAATAATGTGATTAGTTACCAGATCGTCCAATTGGCGTGTCTAATCTTAGGTATTGAAAATACGTCCCGTTTCATCTTATTCATTTATTTTAGGACTGTCGTTATATTTTAAATTCCGTAAAAAATTATAAAATGTGACTCCGACAACTTATTAGGAATAATTAAAGAAAAAAAACATTTTAAATATATAAGACGGAAGAATTAATTTATTATAAACTGACGTGGACTGCATGTCAACTTCCAACGTATTTCTTTATATAGATCACTTAATATAACAATAACAATAAATGTTTGAAAGTGCATGATCAAAATATAAAAATTTAAATAAATTATTTGCAAAACAATACGTTTATTATTCATTTGCTATAATCTGCTTGATATGGCAGTCTAGTTGTTTATGCTCCTTGCGAAGAATTTCAATAGTAATAACTAATAAATATACGCTCATTCGTATCAAAGGAATCATTTAGTACTACGAGAAATTCTTCGGTGTAAATGTCCTCTTTTTTTTCCTGAATGCGAACGCTGTGTGGCGAGTTTAAACGAGTTGGTGCCGCAGCCAGAGAGCAAGATACGCCTCGATTCACTCGATGCTCACGTGCTCGCGCTCGCAATAAGTCCAAGCAAACTGACGCCAAAGCTTCGCGTACAATGCGCATGTAATCTCTTCCGCGTTTCGTTTTCATCGTGCCGCATTTTTCTGCAAATTAGCGCGTAGAATTTTGCAATTAGTTATAGTGGAAAAATCGTTGCAGCAGCTGTTACATTTTTCTTCTTTCGTTCCGCACGTTCTAACGTTACTTCGGTGCCTACAGCTGGAACTTTATAATTCATTAAATCTCTATAGCATACTTTCGTTAAATAAATCGATCGTACGGGTAAACCCAATTTCGAGAATTAGCAGGATAATATTCGGCGTTTGGACTTGAAGACGATCGTTTGTCAGATTAAAAAAAAGCTTTCTACGTATATATGCAAATTGATTGCTTTCTGAATTACTGTATCCACCTTGCAATGACAAAAAGCGAGGAAGATCGTAAATTTTCTAACCTTTTACACGCACACCTTATATATGGTATTTCGAATCTTGAGTGTTTCTAGTAAACGCGTGTTTTTTTCCTCGCAAGCAAGAAAAGTCTATAATTCAATCGCCAATCGTAATTATCCTACATCTCTACATGACACTTTAGTGCGCGCTTGCACAAAAATTTATGAATATCGCGGTAATCAGTGTGGCAAATAAAAAGGAAAAAAAAATTCTCTTCCATAACGCGTGACCTACATATTGCGAAGGCTTTGCACTATCGGCGCTCGTCGAAGCGGCGCGCCAATAGACTTCTTACGCTAAACAACCGCTTCGTGTTCGCAGGTCTGGCGAACGTCTGGGGTTTCCGAAGAATGAGCAAGAAAATCGACTCGTTTCGCCGTTCGAGCTCGCGCGAGACGATCTGCGGTACGATCCCCGAGCACAACAACAAAGACATCGTCGACGGCCCGGACAAGAAGGCACCACTGGAGCGGCGCTTCCTACAAAACTCCACGAGATCGCCGTCGCCGTTCAAGTCGTTCTTTATTCGCATGGGTTCGACGGGCATGCTGAACACCTCGTCGAAGAGCCGCCGAGCGTCGCAGAATTTGGAAGAGCCGAAACGCAGCGAGGAGAAGGAGAATCTGTTTAGGAGCTGCAGCACCAGCCAGTTGAATACGTCGCCGACGTACGTCAAGGGCGACGACCCGTCGGAGGGTATCGATCTGCGGATAACCGCGAAAAACGAGAAAACCGTGTCTTGCGACAATCTCAGTGGCAAGCCAGCTGGCGAGGGACGAACGAGCAGCTTCGTGCCGTGCGACTTCAAGCCTGGTAGAAACGATTTCATGAGGAAATCCAGTAGCTGCGACTTCAAGGAGACGAAGAAGGGCAATTTCCCGTATGCATTCCTAAGGTCGAGACTGTCGGTACTGCCCGAGGAGAGAAACTACAACGGCGTGGTGATGAATGGGAGCAAAGAGGATCGCCTATTTAAGACTGCCTCGGAGGAGCACTTCCCGGCGATGAAGATCGAGGACACTTTCGAGGGCACCACGACGCTCGGCAGACGGAGAACGCCCAAGAGCGGCTATCCGAGCCGAGATTGCAACCGCTACAGACTGCAAGATCCGTCCAGCAGGTACGCGAGAAACTCGTACTCGGAGGAGCGCTACGAGAGCAAAGAGAGCAGGTACTTTAGTCCGGTGAACTTGGCGATGGTACAGAATGGTTTCGAGGAAAACTGCCGGAACTCGATATCGTTGCCCTACCAAGGCACCACCGACCTCGACTTCGACTCCGCGAGCAACAACTCCGCGCTGCTGAGAAATTCTCGCAGGAATTCCAGCGGCGAGCAGAGGTTGTCGTCGCACTACGTCAGCTCGAACGAGTCGGGTTACGACAGCGACGGTCCTCGAGGCGAGTCTGGCGAGCCGTTAAAGTGTAGCACGACCGACAGCTCGGACACGAGTAGCGTCGTCGATTCGGAGCTGGAGAAACCTATGCGTAGCTCGACACCCAGCGAAGACGCCAAAGACGAGACTCTTGTTTGGAATCATCAAGCCGCATCTGGAAGGATATTACCGAGTATACATCAGAGCACGACGACGCAGACAACGACAACGCCAAAAAGTGCAGACGCGATACAGGCATCGGCTCACAGGATGAGACTGCAGCAAGATAAGACGAGATTCTTGACTGACATTATTCAGCCGCCCAAGAGGATGCGTAGGTGTAGACTGGTGAGCTTAAGCAAGACTGATCCGAAGGAGAGTCTAGGGATTAGACTCGCCCAGCAGAGGCACGACGAAGTGCGATATGTTATCGTGCAGCTCGAGGCTGACGGTATTGCGCACAGGTAAATTTCCTTCACTTGTCTGTTGAAAGTGAAATCTATATGACATTTTTCCTATGTAAAAAAAAAAATAAAATAAACAGGGATGGACGACTGAGGCTGGGCGACGAGATAGTCGAAGTCGAGGGCAAAGATCTGCGCACGATGAGCAGCCTTGAGGAGGTGCAAGACTTCCTTCGCTCTTGCGAAGGCACAATGATTTGCTTGAAAACGGCCTACGAGGAAACGGTGCCCCAAATCTACCTTAACGAGGATACGGCAACACAGGATAGCAGCAATCGGCAAACGGATACGCCGAAATCTCACTGCCTCGTGCAGACGACGAGCTGCCCAAAGGAAATAGGAAAGAAGCGACCGGATTACCTACCACTGGAATCGACCACGACGACGAGGCACGTGGCTCGTTTCGAAAAAGGCCTTGGGAAACCGAGTCTTGGTTTCAGTGTTGTGGGCGGCCGCGACAGCCCTCGAGGTGAAATGGGAATCTTCGTGCGCCGAGTCTTCCCTGGTGGACAAGCTGACGTCTCTAAGACTCTCTTTCAAGGTACATACACACAAAGAAGATACAACAAATGGCTCTGCTCTACTTTAATTGTGTTTGCTCGCTTTCCTTTCGGCTGCGCTCTTCCGGCCTTTTTTCTTCTTTCGTGTCGTTAGCGCTCGAGACTTGGGATGAGGCTTAGCGTAATTGAGTCGAAAAGAAGAAACGATCCGAGAGAAACAATGGATGGATTCCGTGGGGTTTCGTTGATTGCATTTCGAAAGAAAAAAATTTTCGTGATAGATTCTAGGATTTTTCTGCCTAATCTATATTTATTTGCTATACGCGTGTCCTTCCTTAAAAACCAACTTTCATGTGTTTTATAGATACGCAGTAAAAAAATTATCATATCAAACCATCAATCAAGTTAGAACGACGAAAGTTTTTTTTTACCCTCGAGCAGAATGTAAATGAGGTAGCTTAAAAATGAAAATGTATTTAGAATGCTAAATTTGTAGCAGAGTAATAGGTTTAACAATAGCCCACAGATATCCATCGACGTATATCTACATGCGCCCGTAGTTTACTGTTTACGAGAAAGAAAACAGGTTCAAGACTACTTACCGCCGTCTGAAGTTTAAGGTAAAAGCACGTACGCGCTCGACTCTCGCAGTCTTAGGAATTCTCGCCAAGATTCCGGCATTTGTCGAACACATCTCGAATTTGTAATAACCATTCTGCGCTCCACAGCTCTCGCATTTTCAATTCGGCCAGCCGAATACCAAGTGTCGCTTCTTTTTCTTTTTTTTTTTTTATATGTATCGCGCCGGCGACAAAAATATACTGTGGAATAAACATTGTTGGATTTCACAAATCACGCGTATAAAGAGACTTCCAGACCACCTGTAATCATAATACTTTTGATGACACGTAACCTTTCGTAACAAGGCAATTGCTCTTCCATAAACATTATTTACTATATGAAAAAGTCGCACCGCAATCGGCGATAAAAAAAAACGGCTAAAGTTGCATCAAGCGAGGATATCGAGTGATGACCATTTTGCAATGGGAAAGTTCTGCAAAAGAAATAGAAGTAGAAGAAATCGGTGGCTTGCAATAGAGAAGATCCTCGGTGGTGAACAACTGGCGACGGCTATACGGTCGATGTCGAAAAGCAGCGCCAGGCATGAAAGATTACATCTGCACACGCGCCGCGTTACGTGCTTGCATAACGGTGATGTCGCTCGTTGGGTCGCTGGTCTCGAAGGCGACTCTCAAGCTACGTGGGTGGATTTTCAGTTTTGATGGACCCATCGTTGACCATATTAGTGGGTATATGTTAAGAGCACGCATTTCGGTGGGATTTCCGACGCGCGTAGGTGTCCGTCGACTTATTTGAGTGGGCCTTCGAAAGAGAGGTATTAATTTGGATTTTCACTTTTATTGTCACTTCCGGTGTGCGGACGATCCAATGGTTTGTTTATCCTGTAGTGACACTTAAAATTTCTTCGACTGCCCACTGCATTTTAATTGGATTTATCGAAACCGGTTGCTTCTTTTTCTATTCGGCTTCACTTGCGTCTTGAGATTTATGCTTCGATTAATCTGACTGACTAAAAAAAAACAGCTAACAGACATCAATGAGTGTGAGTGATAATTCAAAAGCAATCTTAATTCAGGCGTGGCTATCATAATAAAATGACTTTGAACAATTTCAAGAATAAGTCTGCATGCTACCACTTTCGATGTCCTAGATGCTTCACGTGCATCACCGGTTTGTTAAATTGCGACCTCGAATTTTTCGTAACAATTGAAATGTCTCAATCGAGGATTAAGTCTAGAATTTCATTTTGGACTCGACAGATAAACAGTTATTGCAATATTATCTAAAATTTAGCTAAGCCGATAAATATTGACATTACATCTTCACTAGCTACCAATTTAGCCTTCGAAAGTCTTTGGTCACTACGGTAAAAAAACCCTAATTATCCTTGAACGTTGGTAAAAGGCGCGAAAAAGCTGTAACCAGCAACGATTATGAATAGACAAATCAATAAGTGAACAGTTTAAAACCTCGATGAGTATTTGACAGAGTGTTATTAATTTGGTGAACATGTGCGCATGTGTGTGTGTCACTGTGTCGCGTCGAATGAAAAGCGCCTACTGAACTCGAGCTGAGTAGGTTACAAAACTCTCTACAGCGCAGCAGGTGAAATTCAGGTTGCAGGTCAGCCGCGACATGAAAATCTCTTATGCGCGCATACCCATACAAACCTTTATGTCTAATGGCCATTTCTGTTATTAGTATGTGAAAGAGGCGACAACGACGATTTTCCCCGTTGCTCGCAGACGCAGCGACCTACTTGACACTGTACTTACGCGTAGTTATGTGCGTGTGTTTTTACACGTTACAGGTGACGAGATTCTAAGTTTCAACGGTAAAGTGCTGCAAGGCTGCACGCATCGCGAGGCGATCGAGCTGTTCAAAGCTGTTCGAGAGGGAGCCATTGAGCTGGAACTCGCCAGAAGACACAGGTACATTACTTTTGTTTAATGATAGTTTTTACATGAAAATTGTCGCATCTCTTTTATTCTCGTCGATATATTGCTTTTACCAAAGAATGAAATTTGCAATTAACGCAAGTTATCAAACTTTTTAAATAACTTGCGATGAAGCTCATGTATTGTTTCGAGATGATGGAGCTGGCTCGGAGATATGAATTTTGTTTTTATTGTTAAAGGACACTAGGCGTATAACGGTAGAATTTTTGATTATCTAAGACTTGTGTAATAAAATCTTATGTTTGCAAAAAAGATAAATCCAAACTTTTATCTATCAAATTGTAAGTTGGTTATTTATGCGAATTTAGAATTTTATATGGAAATAAAATGAAAACATATGTTCGTAAAATGTTAGCGTTTGGAAAAACATTATTTTGCAAGCATTTACGAACGATACGTGCATAATTTATATGGTACTTTGATTTCCAAGTATACGAAGACCGATGTGTTTATTTTAATGCTATTTGATCCGTCTATATATCGTTCAGAACTTTCACATAAATGAAATATTAGGAGAGTATACTTAGATTGCTACTAAACTTTAATTGAATCTTTGGAAAATGCAGGTCACAATAGAAAGTATGATGGACTTCTGTTGATTTTAACCAATTTTAAAATGTAGCTGTTATTTAAGAATTTAATTGTCGTTATATTCTAATTCACCTTATCATTGTTACAGGTATCATAAAGTCCCCTTAAAAACGGCACCGTACTAAATCGTCTAAAGTTAACTGTCAACAAAACGAAAGCAACATACTGCCAGCTGTGCCTGCTTCACACAGATTTAATACAAAATCATCATTTCGACGACTATCAACAATTCGCTGTCCACGAATCCTTAGATTCTAGTCTTCGTTTTTTCTTTGTCATTGTTAGTTCTCCGAATATTTTTTTTCCAATCCGTTGCCTATTATGTACTTTATATATTTATATACGTTTAATTTATTGTTCTGTTCGACACTGCGTTCGATGCGCCAAGCGTATTAATGAATTATATTAGCACTGCGCGAGCGATTTATTAAATGGTATTTTAGTATTTTATATATATATATATACAAGACGTATCGCTTTGTTGTTTGTAAATTTGCAATGCGATTAAGCATCTTTTGTATGTTATTTTAAAGTGCCTCTTTGGTATATCCGCAAATCATGTACTATATATATAGATTATTTTTTACTATAAACAGTTAATCGATGTGAATATAGTTTAATCCATTCTAATGAAACAATAGAAAGATTTTTTTATAAAGTAATAATCAGTATAGTCCGACAATAATGAAAAGAGAATAATTTTCGTAACTTAAGTTTATCGTTTCACACACATACATACTTGCGCGCACGCACACACACGCACACACACACACATAAACACACACACATCTACCTAAATCAGGCATAATTCAATTTAAATAATATAATATATATTTATTTTTCAACAATTTTACAACTTTACAATATTTACATTTTAAAAAACGTAGCTTTTTTTATTTATTTATAAGAATGTACAAATTGCAATCGTCACGTGTCGGTCATCAATAAATCAGCGCACGATTTTGCCTTTACCGCTCTGAAACACAAGCAAAAAAGAAAAAAACGAATTTAATAACTGAAAACATTCCTTCGTACAGCCTACAATAAAATAAAATGTAAAAGACATAAAGAAAGAAGAAAAGTATTATCAATGTACTAACTGTGCATCTCGATTTCGAACTCGCCGACAGAGATGCAAAGCGATTGGTCCGTTCTTAATGTTACGGAACAGCTGGACAGCCTCACGATGTGTAAGATCATGGCATATCTGACCGTTGACCGCGAGGATCTCGTCACCGGCGCGTAAACGTCCATCTTCGGCTGCCTGACCCGCAGGCAATACTGATTTAACGAAGATGCCTGTGGGAGATAAAAAACGAATGAGGGAAAAAACTTTTTTTATTGGTGATCTCCGTTTCAATGAACACGTTTTTTAATTGTATATAGCCGTTTTTTATGCGAATTGTACATTAGAATTTCTTAGAATATTATTAAAATTGTATAAAAGAAAAATTATAACATTATTAGCGAGTATTATGAATGATTAAGTATTGATAATTTAAGATTTTTATAGATTAGATGTGTATAATGAAATTATTCGATTTAATGTGAATTTGATTCTTCCTATTGTTATACTTAAAGGTCTCGGTTATCTATATAGAGAGAAGATTTTTAACGTTAATTATTAATTAGAGTTTTAAAAAAAGAAATATTCTAAAATATGTCTAAGTTTGTCAAAATAGCAAAGGTTCTCATATATATCTTAAAAAAATATTTATATCCTTTTAAAAATTCTATTGAAAAAAAAATACGGTTTTTTTCCGTGATGTAATAGCGATTAGAAAATGTTGAATTCTTGATTGATATATATTCTAGATATAATGCGTAATTGTGATCTGTTCAAAACGTATCATCTACTTTCGCAAACCATATTTACAATGTGTAATTTTTTTTATTGTATTGTTTTTGTATTGTGTATGAAATGATAAGAAGTCAACCGGCAAAGACTTATAATAAATTGATATAATATTTTGATCTAAGCAAGCAAATTAAGTGAGTGCATTTCTTTACCAATGCTTCCTTTCGGACTGTCTCGTCCACCGACGATTGTGAAACCCAACGACTTCTTTCCTGGTCCTTTCTCGAAAACCACCGTGAGGAATGTCGACATTGTATTTCTAGGCCTCCTGGGCAATGTACAAAAGTTAGACAAACTCTCCGTCGATTTGTTCTTGTCGGAATCTCTGACAGGTCCTTTTTCCGTGGGTTCGTCAAGCTTGCTTGATTTCAGTCTCCGAGATACATGCTTCCTGAAATGCGATGCCTCAGGTGTAACGATAACACCGTGTCCATTCTCAATGCTGACATTCTCGTAGTCAACACTGCTCTCCATCAGTCGCTTCTGCACCGGCGAATCGGCCGGAATCATTCTGGAGACGACGATATCAATTTCCCCAGGCGCACCACCGCTGCTTAGAATCTTGCGAGCTTCGGGCATTGTCAGACCGCGAAGTCGCTTGCCATTTACAATGAGAATCTCGTCGCCGATCTTGAGAGTACCCTCCTTATTAGCCAGTCCATTAGGTACGACGTGAGCAACGAGGTAGCCCGCGGAGTCCGGCGTCTTAGCTATAAAGATGCCGAGGCACTGGTCGCTCGTCTCCCTCAGCAATTTAACTATCAGAGTCTTTTTTATGCTCGCGTTACTCCTGATGGCCACGAGCTTGTTCGCATCCGGCTCGCTGTTTCGAGATTTGTTTAGAACTGGGGATGATTTAGAAACCGTGTCAGTGTCGTCCAGCAGCGATGAACTTCGAGTCGCTCTCGGATCTTTTTTCGGCGCTGGAGGCGCACTTGGTCTTCTTGGTGGTACTCTGGGTGGCAATCCAAGAACCGTCGTTGTCGGCGACGTCGTGCCATGGTGCAGATGATTGTTGTGATTCATCTGCGACTCTGAGGCGACGCTGCTGCATCTGTCGTCGAGCAGTGAACTCGTTGCCGAGTCATTGTCCAAGATGCCCGAGTCGTTGTCATTATCCTCGTGTTCTTGATCGTGGTCTTCGAATAATGGATTGGTTCGCAGTTCATCTAGCCCCGGAAGTGTGCCGTATGAGAAGCTTCGCAATCGTTTGCGCTCCTTGTCCTTGCCTTCCTTTTTATAAATTTTACCGATCAGTTTACTTGTCGAGCTCTTCAGATATCTAAAAAAATTATTATGATTAAATAAAGTTGTATAAGCTATTATTTAGATTGTTTATCGGTTATTCTATCAAAGAATTAACGTATGGGTTTTCGATAAATATTTTCAATAAGTAAAAATTACCGAAATAAACTTTATATATTTCACCTGTTCTGCATCGCGCGAAATTTAGCAGCCAAACAACTTGACGGCGTTACGCTACTAAATGGCTTCTCTTTCTTCGCCTCCCCGGTGCAATTCTTGTCCTCGAAATTCTCGTCATTCGTGTGTTCTCCCTCGGCGTCGCTCTTTTGCGAGTTGAGCATATCCTTGCTCTTCCGCCAGCGTCTTCTTCTGGGCTTGGGACTGTCATTCAGCTTAAAGCCGAACAATACAAATCGGTCGTCCGACTGCCCAATGCACGGTAGCCTACTTTGCGACTTTGAGCGTCTATTTCGATCTTTCGCTTTCTCCTCTTCGTCTTCGTCGTCGTCCTTGCTAATAATATGTTTTAGATCATTTTCACAGATGGATCGTCGAAATTCAGTCCTCGTAAGCTCGTCGCCTCGAAGCTCGCACATCGATCTGAATTGCCGGTTCTTGTCATCGTCCTCGTCGTCGAGATTATCGTGCTGATCTTTGAGGAAACTCAGCCGAGTGTTGCGCACTCGATCGAGGAGTGGATTACGTTTCTCGACGCTCGCCCTACGTCGCTCCTCCAGTATCTTGCGCTTATCTTTCTTCTGATGCGAGGAGAAGTTGCTACCGCTACAACGTCGTTCGGTCGTCACGCTCGAGGTCTGCACGTTGTAGCAGTTGCGCTGCTCCGACTCCTCCGAGCTTGAGCTACGCCGGCTCCATCGTACCGGTGACATGTCTGGAATACGAAGTCATGTATTAGTTGCACGCATTCAAGTAGCGACCACCCGTTATGTTAGCTTGGTGCGTTGAATTATTACTATGGTGAAGGGGTCAAAACATTTTTGTGTCTGTACGGTTTCGATGAGCCGTTTCCGTTCGATCATTTCGATTAATCTTTGATAACACAATTATTTCACATGCCGATAAATTACCAATTGTTATTTCTATTAACACAATAGATCTAAATGTAAATATAACCAACACATACAATTATTTGCAACGATTTTAAGTATAAATTATTCAACGAAACTCGACTTTTTGACAACGTTTTCTAAAGCTAAAAAGTGTTTATGTTATGAACGTGCTTGTAATGAAAGTTCAGTTATAAATGTTCCGCAATCGCATTCCTGTCCATAACTCGAAAAGATATCTGGATTTTACATACATTTCAGAGACAATAAATCAATTACATCAGACTATTCTCGAAAGGAATTCGTAATTATCGGCGAGTCAATATTAAACTCACACGAAAGTTAGAAAACAAATGTTTAAATTTCCCGAGACCTGGATATAAATAAAATTTCCGAAGAAAATTTACATAAACATACAAAGATAAATGCGAGAGAAATAAATGAATACATGCTAATGAACACTTAGATTTTACACCATTTGAAAATTCACAATCAAATTTTAAGTTGGTTTGCATTGTTTTTACAAAAATAGCATCTTCAAAAACAGAGATTATTGATATTTGTTAATTATAAAACGATTCCTCGATAATAATTTTTCAGTGATGCCCAATAATTAGCAAATCATAAAGTATAATTCCACGTAGTAAACGCATATTAATATCGATAATAATCGGAATCACAGGTTATAACGAGTAGAACAATAGTAGATATGTGGCATGCCATGAGTTATTATTAACAAGTTGGCGGGTGTATGATTCAAAAGTGGAAATGTATCGAGAAAGTAAACTACTCAGCAACCAGAATAATTCATCCATTATCGTTGCGCCGTGAAATACTTATCAAAAATGCTTTTTGATGACAACACAGATATTGTCAAGTGCGTTGGCATATATATATATATATATATGTGTGTACTCGTCGGAATGCCGCTGAGGTAAAACACGCACACAATTCAGCATGCCAATATGTCGTTAGTAGCACACGCAAACACACAGAGAAAGTATATAAAACGAAGTAAGGAATTTGCGAATGAAACACTCAGAGTTCCGGAAGGCTATTTACGTTTGACGATCTGCTGGAGGCAGTCGGCCTTTGCATCCGCACGCCGATGGGAAACCCTCGGGATCATTTTTCTTCCGCCTGCTGTGGCAGCCAATCGACTCCCCTTTTTTGCTTTTTTTTACTGTTTCGACGAGTTTGAGATTCCTTTAGGAAGCAAAGCACTACACTTGAGTGTGAAAGAAAGAGGATGAGAGTTAGTTTAGGATGCACACTTCTTTAATTTGTCGGATGACAGAGAGAAAGACTGACGACGTGATGACGTTGGATTTACCCGGAACGCTTACTTCATCCGACGTAAGAGCACGTGCAACTGAATCAACAGACATCTACGGAAGAGGATATAAGTCTTTTGGAATGTTAGAAGGAAAAACGAGCGAGAAATCAAGAAACGTTAAAGTCTCTTTCTTTCTCTCTCTCTCTCTTTCTCTCGATATATATTCTATGGCAACATTCGTTTTTTATTTGGTTAAATCAGCGTCTTATAAAACTTGGCTTCACGTCGCCTTCCCGAGATACAAAAGAAACAGGTTCTTGTATTCCAAAAACTTGGGATCTTTCCGAAAGAATTAAAACAACATACAACTATCTTGGCGAAAGAACAAGGAACGAAGGAACGTACCTCTGGTACGAGTTGACCAGCACATCTTGAACATCTTCGAAGCGTTTGAGAAAGAAGTGGGTTCACTTACACTGAATGTTCATTATATGTATTAAAAATAGTTAATATACCGAGGGTCGGCGCGCGGAAAATCGCGTGGCTGCGAGCGTTACGACGAGCAATCGCGAACTGAACTGACTCGGTTCTCGTTTTTTTTTGTCGGTCCTCCGCCCGCACCGTACGTGTGTGCGTTATAGCGGCGCTTTGCGCGACTCGACCTGCGGCGCGGTGGGAGGTGGCATTGTCCGCGCGCCAAGCGTGACGCCCAGGATGTATCAAGACGTGTAGCGCGGGAGGAAGTTAAGACTTGTTGAATGGATCTTAATGGATCTTCCGAGAGCGATACACTTTGCCTACCAAAGCGATTGTTCACTTTCATTGTCCATCTTTCTTTTCGCCGTTGTTTTGTTTCATGAATTTTCATGATGTCCCCCTCTCGCGTCTATCAAGTCACTTTTTTTACTTTTTCAAATCTATGCGAATGTTCTTATATGTGGCATTGGATCGGTCGGCAAGACAATTAGAAAGTGTGCTTGTTTATTGAATGTGTTCTTGGCCTCCTTATGAAGATCTATTTTATTGCCAGCGTTAATGCATTCCGGTACATGCACTTTATGAATTTAATTATCCATGCTAATTAGGTGAAAAATCCACTCGCACAAGTACGACTGCGCATTGTTGGAGTTATCGATAATTAAAAGAATACGCGCTACGGATTGTCATTCCGACCTCTCTCGCCTTGCAGGATAAGAATCAAAAACCAACTCGACCTCTTTGTCTTTTTCAAAGTAAACATTAAGGCGTCTTCTTATCGTTATCAAGACTTGACGTACCTGTGCCTTCACGACACGTTAAAAATTGTAGTAATATCTCGTTTATTATACGCACGCACAATAAATAAAAAGAAACCAGAACGAGTAAACGTTCCAAGGGAAAAGCCGATGAAAAATGAAATAAAAAGTAAAATTGGCTCGCTGAGAGAAATTCATCCCATCAAAATTCACCAAAGCACCGTGCGCGCGTGCGCCGCGAAATCCAAGTTTAAAAATACTGGATTAGCGTTGTATACGCCGTTCCTCTATTCTCCCCGCTCCACATTCTGAAAATAGGAGTGACGGGCCGGGGGGAAGAGAAAGAGACAGGGGGACAGAGGTTTGGTGAGTTCAGGGAAGCGGGTCGTTGACTAATCTCATCTCCACAGCAGTCTAGCCTCGGCGGAGGTTGTTGCCCATCGTGCGGTTGTTCGCGCTCGCGCGCAAGGCCCACACCTGTCGCGATCAAGGTAAAACAGCGATCGCCGTGTTTTGGTTACGCGGAGGATGGACGTTTATTTTTTCCAATTGTACGAGGCGAGCGCGGTCAACGGCACGGAACTTTTATTTTCGAACGAGGAATGCTTTCGACCCGACAAATCATTCCTTTTATTTTTGGAATGCAAATCCAACTGGCAATTACGTTCGAAGCGTTTGATTTGCATAAATCATCGGGGCGTTCGGCAAGATGTTGCGAGCGTGTCTTGCACGCTATGAAAAGTCCAGAAAACCAGATTAATAAGTCACGTGCAATGAAGGAGAACAGATAAGACGGAAAGAGAGTAGTCGTGTGCTCGTCGAGGCAAAACTTTGACGTAATTCACTGTAACTTTACGGATGGAAAAGGCGACCGCGCAAGTTTCTAATAATTTTCATCGCAACATTGAAAACCGCAGCGCTCATCGATACGCCGATTTCTATTTTGCTGGATATCTCCTCCCTTCCGCGCTTCACAGTAGTTTGTTGGCACTTTTTCAAAGCTGTCACCGTTGAAAATCTATTATGCAAAGCAGAGTGATAAATTCAGTTAAGAGCCAGTTTAACAAGTTATCTCAAAAGGGACTTTAGCTAAACGATTCCATAATTAGAATGCGCTAAGAAAAAGTCTGAAACTTTCCAAACTCGTGCTCATTTGTACGCGTCGCGAGGTGGTGTCGGCGAGATCAGCGGGTAAGTGTGCCGAGATGGACGTTAAATGACTGTACGGAGACACAAGATGGAAAACCAGTGTGTATGTATATGGAGAAGAGACTGCTTATGGAATTCGATGCAGCCTTACCCGTTCGGTCAGCTGGTCGCTGAACTACCATCGATATATGGCTAGTTAACGCTTTCTCCGTATCGACCTGCAATTTTTTACCAGACTTACTTATTCGTATTTCATTAAGAAGCATCCTTATCTCTCACTGTTGGAATAATAAAGACCTTTTTTGACGTTTGATAATTTTATATAACTCACTGAATAATTTGCAGATAATAAATAGATCTTCAACATCTAATGCCTAACCCACAATCGTGACTTAACTTAGCTACAATATCATTTCACTGTTTTATGACAATTACTTTTATACAGTTGAGTAGAATGGTACTGTTAAATATTGAAATAATTCTATATTTTAAGAATATTAACCTACTTAATGGCTCATAAGCTATTATAGATTGTGTGGATTGCTTCAAAGGAAAATTCAGCGCTGAGTTTTAAAAAGTTGGTTCTAATCTTAAAAAAGGTTATCTTTGCTCTCTTTGTTGATTGTAATTTTCATTTCGTTATTCGTGTGCTCAGGCGAAATACTTGACTTATAACACTATTGATGGCCATTTAGTTCGTTCACATTACAATACTGAACGTATATTGGCAAAAGAAATTATTTTTATTTAATAAATTTTTTAATAGCTAGATTATTCATTCACCTTGTGTTATGTAAATGCATTTGAGTGACTTCAATGACCAAAACAAAGAACGAAATTTAAGTTATTCGATAATTATAATTATTCTTTTAAGTTGCAAGGCGGAACAAAATGAAACTTTTTACGTTTTGAAAATGTACTCATTGCCAATAACTCGCGCAAAATTCGAAATACTTGTTGATACCATGAAAAGAAAAAAGTGAAAAGCGTAACGCGGTGATTTCGCAAAAACCAGTAGCCAGGCGAAAAAAGTCGCGCTATCTCGAGCGCGATTTTCTCCAGCCTACGCCATAAAGTCACATATCCATCGAGTCTACAGCAGACCGCAGCAGCGGCGGCGGCGCGGCGGCGACCCGGCACACATATAGTACTAGGTAAGTGCATTTGTTATTTCCCGCCGACTCATAAATCGCTCGAGGCACAGATAAATTCACGACAATGGCCAATAATAGAAATTTCTCGTTTCGTCTTTTTAGCTCGTCTTCTCCCTCGCATTCTGACTCTTCGCGCAAGAAGAAACTTTCTCTCACGATGAGCCAAGTCCAAGGCCAACGTATGCGTATACGTATGCGCAATTACGCGCTTACAGGCGTTCGTTCGATTCTCCTGACAGCGCAACGACTTTTTTTCTCCGCATTAAGCGTCCGGGGGGCGTGCGAGCGTGTACACACATACCTGCGAATAAGGACTATCGCGTTCGCGGTTTTTGTTTTTCGAAAAAACGGGTTGAGACAAGACAGGAGTTATTGAAAAAAAGGGGGAAAATTATAGGTGTTTGAGGGAGGAGGAGCGCCGAAAAACTTGCATCCTTCCTGTCGTTTGTCTCTGAATTTTACGCCTGCATGCTCGTAAAGTGCACACTTTTCTTTTCAAAGAATTCACTCACACGGTTTTATGCACGTAAATCCGATGTATTCCATACATTACGAAAACGTTCAATTTTTGAACACTGATGGAAACATCTCTTCATGAATATGAATTGCTGGCTTCGTCCGTAAAACAAATTTTTGAAGCACAGAGGTTAAATTATTAAAGAATACTTTTAATTAAGCTAGCGATCATTTGTTTACGTTTCTGTCTCTCAATTCTCGGGTTTTTTTAGAAAATACTTCTACTCAATCAGTATAAAAAAAACTAGGTAAAATTGTTTTCGTAATTAATCATTTAATTTTATATACCGTTTAAAAAAGTGGTTAGAGCTTTTCAAAAGCAAAATCAATTCCGCTACGTACAAAAGATAGTTTCGTTGATGTATTTCACCAAAGATATATAAATACATTGAATTTGCGTCATTACCCACGTAAAATATAATTTTGTCAAAGGTTCTGGAAAAATGAATGAGTCGCAGCAATACAATCATAAATATTTCATGGAACTAAAAAAAAGATTAAAAAAAAATAGAAAATCTATAAAAAGAGGGAAAAAAACGATCGATCAGCTCGATTTTGGCGGATGAAATGTCAGGCGCTCGTTCATACATGAGCTGAGCCAGTAAAGTCACTTTTGCAATTTACGGGCAAAAGAGAGTGTCGCTTTGCACCTGCACAGGAAATCGGCTATCGATCCGCTCGCTGTACTACTCGGGTTTCGCTCGCATCCTTGTCGCCCCGTTGTCTTATAAGGTAAGCCAAGCTTTATATTGGCGAAGCTCGAGGCAGTCGAAACCTCGGCGTGCAGGCCGAAATTGGCGCAACCGCGTCCGGCTGCTTGATCAATGTTACGTTTGGTCCGAAGAAGAGTTTAATTTCGAAGTCTCGACGTTTTTTCATCTCTCGACAGGATGGTGCAGTTGATTACGTTGAAGAAAAAAAATTTTTTTTTTAAAACGAGGAATGTTACTTATTTCTGTCGAAGTCACAAGTCTATGAGTCTAATTGAAAGAAGCCGCTTATCGCGCACCACCGCGCACGCCGCACTCGTCCTCGCGAAATCCCGCAGCGCGTTAAACCTGCACGCAGCCGATACCTTGAAGCACAACGGCCAAAAGTCCGCCGTGCGCGTGGCATCGATTGTCTTTTCGAGCGAGAGATCGTCGACGTGAGATAGCCTGCGGCAATTCACGTGGTGTACATTGTGCTGAGGCCGTGGACGGCTTTTACCTCGGAACTTGGAGACGGCGAGAAGCCTGGACGTGGAGTGCCGAGTGCATGCTTCCGGGTTCTCATCTGCGTCGGTACGCAGGGGGCTGAGGCTCAGCAGGCGCGGTGCCGCTTCCGCGTGTTGGGCCCGAAACCAGCGCATCCTGAAAACAATGAGAGAGAGAGTGTGCAAATTATGTTATGCAAATACATGGTTACGTTTTGCTCGCGGCCCATACGTTGCGCAACGTCCAATGCGTGCGCGAGCGTCGAGCGACTTGCGCGGTAATTATCGTGATACGCCACTCTGTTCTTTCTCGGCCCCGGTGGTTTGCGCCTCCGAGTAAGCTATTTCCATGGAATCAAACTTCGGGAGGTATGGCAGTTAGCGAGCCTCGGCCGTTAGTGGGCTTTCGACAGACAAATCGCGCGGTTGGATAGTGACAGAGCGTCCTGCTGCAGTCAAAAAAATCGCGCATAAACGAGTTCGCGCTCGGCGCCGTGCATGCGAAACCAGTAAATCCGCAACAATCCGCGAGCGAGCTCCATTATCGATAATAACTT